ATTAATTCATAAAGATACTATAATTTACTAGCAGTTTAAAAAGAAAGACCTTCATAGGAAATATTCTTTTGACTTAACAAAGGCAGATAACATTTTTGATAATTTGCTTACTGTAAATTTCCTAAAGTTACCAAAGAGAGTTAAAATTCCTTCCCCAGAAAAACTTAAAGGGAAAATGTATTGTAAATGGCACAATTCTTGGTCTCATTCAACTAAAAATTGTATTGTTTTTCGGGACAGGATCCAAGAACAGATTCGAACGGGGAGTTTGAAGTTCCCAACCAAAGCAGAGAAAGCTATGAGGATTGACACTAACCTATTTCCAGAGATTGGGGAAGCTACAACTAATGTTGGTGTGCCTGACTTCCAAAACCCATCCTTGAAAGAATTGGAAGAGGTTAATGTGCAGATGCATGTTGCCAACTAGACTACTGTCAAGAAAGATATCAGAAGTTCACCAACAAATAGACAGAGCTTTGCGGACCAAAAGGAGGACTCTAGTGAAGAGACATTGGATGACAACTCTCTAGAGGCGGCTGTCATGCAAAGGATGTGTCCCACATGTAGGTTAAGTAACAAATGGTTGAAAGGCCTCCCAATTGATGGAAAACAGTATTACAAGGATGTGCAGAGACGCCCCAAACCAACCAGTGCCTACAACAAGAGGCCATACCCAACTGGTCCCAGACAGCAGCCCTTCTTGGTTGGACCATCAACTACTAAAGTGCATTCTAAGGGTAAGAGACCTCTGCATGAGTTCAGACCACCCAACTATTACAAGATGGAAGGCCATTATCCTAAGAGAATGCCTGAGGTGGGCTTAAGTTATGGAATCAGAGCCAAAGATTGGCCTCCAAAAGTAGCCTCAAACAAGATGCAAGGTAACCACCCTAACAAGAGGCCTGAATTAGGCTCAAGACAGGGAATTAGAGACAGACAGTGGCCTTCACAGGCAGCTTCAAAGTTGCCTTCAAAGACAGAAAGAGCTAGTTCAGTAATTGAACTAGTAAGTTCATAGGTACCTGGAGTTCCAGATTGGTTTGTCATACAGAACAAGCCTAAGGAAATGCCTACCTAAAAGAGTGTTTTTGGGGACTAGGGTAGAATGATTAAACCTCCCTTGGTGGCTCCGAATAATTGGGTATTACTCAAACACCCAAAAATAAAGGAACTAGATATGGTTCTTGTAATCTCCAGATCCCAGAGGAGAAAGATACATCGGAGGTATACTCAGTACCAGAAGGATCTGAAGGAAAGTGAAGAGAGTTCCTCATTGGCCCAGTCAAAAGGCCAGACAGAAAGAAAAGAAAGTCCAAAATTAGCCGCTCAGAACAAAAGAATTGTCAACAGGGAACAGTTGGCTAAAGTTCACACTGAATTGAAAGCCAAGGAAAGATCCTCCATAGCAGGTCTTGAAAAGGCCTTGATGGAAAGTGACACTAAAACAGAAGAAGAAGTTGACCTAGGCCAAAGCAAAGAAATGGCTGAAGATGAGATGTTTGAAGCCTTCATGGCTGAACATACCTTTTTGGCCGAAAAACCAACAGGAGTAGAACATTCAAAGGAAGTCACTAGTGTTGAAGTACCAGAGTGCAGCATGGAAGATGCGTCCGAAGTAACTGAGCAAGTTAGTTTGGAAAAGCAACAAACGCAGCCACAAGTTCAGTTTGGGTCATTCCCTCCAGTATCAGTAAACATGGCACATATACTGCCACAAGAGTTCCAGGTTGGAGATGGAAACCAGGAAGGTCAGGAGATTGACCTTATTCTAGTTTCCAGCGAAGATTCACAGGTTAGTATAGTTCAAGATGAGTTTGAAGTGGATTTTTTTATTAAATTTTGATGAAGGATTGGAGATGGCCTAAGTCTGCATCTGAGATGTCCTAAATATAAAATACAAGCAAGTACACATTTAAAATATAATCTGCCAAACAATAAATAAAAAAATAAAAATTATTTAACAAAACAACCCATAAAGAAGAAGATTTCTTCAAACTAACATCCGGCAAAGTAAATATAAAAATATAGTCACTAATTAAAGGAAGAATTACAACCCTGAACACAAAGAAGTGGACTGATTAAGAGAGTGAAGTACCGAGCATCAAAAATGAAAGAATGAATGAATTTTCCATGTGAGATTTTTCTCAAAAACATCAGTTAACAAATCCATACAGCAACAGAAAGAGAAAACAACTTTAAAAAAAAGTACTTTCTATCAATCAAACTGTTTATTGCAAATATAAACAACAAAATCAAGTGGGATCAAAATCAAGAAAATTTTTTAGTGTATGTGAGTAAAAAAAGATAGACAGACACCTATGAGAAAGTAGGAAGTTTCCCATCTTGTATGGGGAGAGAAGAGGGTTATGGGGTGGATGCTTTTGCTCTTTCTCTTCTTGTCCTTGCCTTACTTGTTCCAATTCCATTTTTATTCACTGAAAACACTTGAAAAATGGAAGCTTGTGGATGAATGAATGAATGATATCCCAAAAATCAAAGAGAGTGAAGCTGGGTTTTAACAATAATACAAGAAAGAAGATTACAGAACAGGAGGCTCCAATATTGGATTGGGGGAAGCTGGGTGGGGGTATAAATAGCAAGGGGATCTCATTCTTAATTTTTTTTCTAATGAAATTTGAATTTGAAAAAAAAAAAAAATCTTTTCTAGTTTTTACAAAAATAACGTTGGTGTGTTAATATAATTAATTTACAATTAAAAGGGTATGTGGCAGCTCTATTAGTTCGAACCTTGATTTTCCCCTCACCACTATACTATTGAGCCAAACCTGTACATCTAAATTATTTTCAATTTATTCATTAAATATTGGGTAATATGTAAATGGTTTACTCAATATGTCAATTGGTTTATATTGTTTTAATTTGTTTGATTTTACTTCTTAATTTAACAAATTGTGTTATATTAATCTAATAAATAACCGTTGTTAGGTTTAGTAGATGGAAACGCAAATAGTGTGTTAATTTGATCTCTATAATTTACACGATGTACTAATTTGGTCTTGTAAAAATCGAACAAATTAAAATAATAGAGTCCAAATTGACACATCGTTTGAGCACATGATAACTTTTCGTTCATCAAACTTAACGACCATTATTTATTAGATCAATATGACAGAATTTATTAAATTAAAAGATAAAATCGAACAAATTAAAACAGTAAGAACCAAATTAATACATAGTATAAATTATAAGGACCATTTGTATAATTTATCCTTAAATGTCTCATCAAATTAAAAAGATGAACTATTGAAAATATTTTTTTCCATAAAATTTGATAAGAAGATAAATTTCAGATAAGAGGAAAATTAAAAATAATTTGATATTAAAATTAAATTAAATACAAAAAAATTAAGGAAGAGTTGAAAATCTATATAATAAAATAGGATGGTTTTTGAATTTTTGTCTTATTAGGATATTTGGACGGCTTAGATCTGTTCGAACCACAAAACAACGGATGTGATGTATTTTCTACTTTTCTACTTCTCTCTCTTATTTTTCCTTTTTTCACTCACCCTTCCATGATCCCATAAATAATCTCATGAATGATTTCATAATTCCACCTTCCTCCTTTTCTTTTTATTTTTTTATTGAACAATGGTAGAGGGCCCAAATTCTGTGGCTCAAATGTGGCTCAAATGGCCAAAACGACGTCGTTTTGAGTACAAAACAACATCAAAATGGCCAAAACGACGTCGTTTTGGCCATTTGAGCCACATTTGAGCCACAGAATTAGGGTCCCCAAACATTTTTCTTTTTTATTTTCTCCTCTTTTTTATTTTCTTCCTTATTTATTTAATTTTTTTTCTTTTTTATTCACTTACTTTTATTTACACCATGCACTAGTGCTCTGATAAAGGAAGAGGGAGTGTAGCTATCCTAATTTTTCATAGGTTGTTATTTATTTATTATTACTTTATTTTATATTTGACTTTATTAATTGTGTGGGTTTATGAGAATTTAATGTGACATTTAATTAGTTTAATGTGGTGTTTAATTATATATAATTAAATTGAATATTTATATTTATGTACGGTGTATTTATGTTTTATTTATAGAGTATAATAATATAAGTCAATTAGGTTATATAATATAATAACTATTAGGTTATCTATACTACATATTAAGTAAAAGGGGGTTTTTAACTCCAAGGCCTGTGGGAGCTCCAATCTCCTAATCCTAATTTTTTAATTTTTTGATTTAAAAAAAAAATCTCAGCATTTATTAACTTCTCCCAACCCAACCTCAGCATTTATTGACTTCTCCCAACCTACAATCCTTTTTTACTTCTCTCATAATTATTGCAACACCATTTTCAATTTCTCTCATATACTATGGTTACACACAAAAATAAAAAATAAAAAGATAAGGTGCCGTTTGGTAACACTTACGTTTCAGTTTTCTGTTTACATTTACAAAAATTTAAAAAACTCAAATAAAAACTTGTTTGGTAAAATTTTTGATTTATAAATCAGTGGTCTCAGTTTATAAATTTGGTCAAAAAATGTGTTTCCATTTTGAGTTTTCAGTTTTTTTTTTTTTTTACCACCCAACACTAGCCCCCACCCGCCATCATTTTCCACCATCGTCTTCCGCCACCACCACTCGTCACCACCCACCACCCACCACCCGCTACCACTTGCCATTTCTTACTCTTTTTTATATTTTTAAATTTTTTAAAATATTTTGTCTAAACCAAACGCGTTTGTAGTTTATGTTTTTCATGTTCCAATTAGAGTTGGCAAACTTAACCCGAAACCATGAACCTGCCTAATTTCACCAGTTTAAACCTGTCCAAATATATAAACGGGTTATATTTGGACAAAATGGGTTGGATATGGGTCTACAGTTTGGACAAAATAAAAATAAAATAAAATAAAAAAACAAGGAACCCACCAGCACCCCACCAAATCCACCCTTCATTGGAAAAAGAGTTAAAAGTAAATGGGTTGGTGGGATTCGTGCAGGATGTAGTAAATCAATATTTTTTTGTTGCTATAATCAAGACTGTTTTTGGTGTTGCAGTCGTTGCCAGTCTTTGTATTTGCCAACCAGGCAGGGCTTGACATGCTGGAAACAACTCTGGTGGCTTTACAAGATATCACACTGGACAAGATATTCGATGAGTCTGGCCGGAAGGTGTTATATTCCGACTTTGCTAAGATAATGCAGCAGGTACTTTCCACATATGAGATAAATTTTTCCTTGTTTGCATTTCTTTGATGGGTCAGTCTTTCATGGTGTAAAAAGACGTGGAACAATCATGATAAAGGTCTTGAATTCAATTATGGAAACACATCCTTAATGCTTGTCACTGAAAGAAAGAAATAAAGAAAGAAAAGGAAGTGAGGGGAAATTAGGGTTTAGTCACCTTGTACACTTAAGTGCAAGAGGTAGCTATCTAGTTTGAACATTCTTTTCTCAAAAAAAAAAAAAAAAAATGTTTATTTGATATTAATGTAAAAGTATTTCTAATATCTATGTGCACTTTTGATCAATGGAAGGAACTCATCATGTATTGGGTATAAATCCTCCTCTCTATGGTGGTATTTTTCATCCTTTTAATTTGAACCCAATGAATTACTCGAGGTGAAGTCTGCCTTGGATTTGTGGAGGGAAAAAGAAAATTGAAGTCTTTCCCTGTTTGGTTTGTTTATGTATTCCTTATTTTCGTTGAAAGTTTTCAAATACAAAAACAATGAAAAGTTCAAAAACATCTGTCATTTTCTGTGTGCAAAACAAATTTTGAAAATTTAAAAATAATGTTTTGGTGTTTTGCAGGGATTTGCTTGCTTGCCGGCTGGAATCTGCATGTCAACGATGGGGCGCCATATTTCATACGAACAAGCCATCGCATGGAAAGTCCTAGCTGCTGAAGAGAACACTGTCCATTGTCTTGCCTTCTCTTTTGTTAACTGGTCATTTGTGTGAAAATCTTGTTTATTTATTCATCTACTACTCTCTTGCCTTCTGTAGTGTTGTGAAATCGAAGAGTAAAAGAAGAGTAGAGAAAAGAAAAAGAAGTTTTGTAGTATTCAAATCCTGCCTGAGGTTTGCATTACATTAATTTATTTAATTAAACGATTCCATGTTTTTGGTTGGTTAATGTAAATTTCATTTGCTTTTTTGATATTAAGTTTCAAAAACTTAAAACATTGTAAATTTTGAAAAACAGTCATCTTTAGGCTACTTTTGTTTTTTCTTTTTCTTTTTCTTTTTTGAAATGTAATGAAATGCTATATCTTCTAGTATTTTGTCATATAATTTTCGTTTTAATATTTATTTTTAAAGAGCAAAAAAGTATTCAAAAATAATATAAAAATAGGATAAATTATGCTCACTTTTCTTGAAATTTTTAGAAAATGCAACTAATTTCACATTTTTGATATATTTATAGTGGGCTTTTTAAAAATTTTAAATTATATAATATTTAAATCATTTTTCCTCAATAATTTCTAAGTCCTGAATGAAAATATAATATTATTATCGATTTTTTACAAAATTATATATTTGCATTTACTTATTTCAATATCCATTACTTATATTAGTTTTGATTACAATGTGACTATCTCAAACTTGTGAGCTTAATTATATTTTTTTTCAAACATCTTAGAGCATCTCTAAGGGTGCATATTTTTTTCATCAAATTTGAGTAGATATTTTAGTAAAAACTCTCTTTGATATCATGTGTTTTAATGAAAGATTTTCAGCTTTCATTAAATCACCAGTTGATCGGGCAGATATCCAACCAATTGACTGACCAATATATTTTTTTCACAAATTTTTTCCCTAGAGGTGGGTCGTATGGAGGACATTTGGTAGTGAAAATGAAATGAATATGAATACTGATTCGATAAAAGCTCTCAAGCATCCTCAATTTGATAAAAGATTTTTAATATTCTCAATTTGATATTAACCTGGTGAAATCATTGGAGCAAAAAAAATATTATTTTTTTACCAAATTTAAATTTAATGAAAAAATTGATGAACCATTAAAAATGGTCTTAGATGAGGTGAAATAGCATCATCTTTTCGGTACAACGCATTGTGGGTTCACAGAAAAAAAAAAATTAAAAAAATAAGAGTTAAATAAACAGAAAAGATGGGATACAATTTATTTATTTATTTATTTTTTTAATCTCCTCGTGCTGGTACCCACAACTTAAACAGATTAATAGAAGAGTACAATTTTGAATATCATATATGTTACAAATTCCACAAGATAGTTTCTCAAAATTTATGAATGTGACTAATCCATGAGACACGACAGCAACACTACCATCCTGAATTCACAACTTGAATATGGAAAGAACCATCTTCTTGTCTGATTCACCAAATATATACATGCACACGTTACAGAAATACAGCAAATTGTGTTAATGTTTCGAAGTCGAATGCACAGAAAAACAAGTTTAAAAAAGAGAAGAAGATCACACCGCCAAAAACATAAATTTGAATGAGAATCGCTAAAAGACTTTCCATTCCTTGCATAATTATGTTTTCTTTATTCATCGGGATGCCAGTGACCAGAAGTTCAAGAGAAAAGATGGCAGTGCAGTGAACCAGCAGAGGAAAGCCATGGCTGTTGCAGTCTCAAACTGTGCGCAGTGATTCTGAGAACAGATACCAAGATCATTGCCGATAAGGACAGTGATACCCGCAGATGCACAGGCTGCTGCAAATGTAAGAGTGGATGTGATCTGCAGTGGAAAGAGATAATAAGCTATGGCATTTATTTAATTTCGCAAGAGAATGAATATAGTAGTTACAAATTTCCCATGATTGTCAATATATATATATATATATATATGTATATATGCTGTTTGTTGGGCTCTATACTATATATTAAGCAAAAGGGGGTTTTTAACCCCCAAGTCCTGTGGGAGCTTCAATATCCCAATCTGAATTTTTTAAATTTTTTATTTAAAAAAAAAAACTCAGCATTTATTGATTTAGTCAAAATCCTCTGATCAGCATTTATTAACTTTTTTCAATCCACATATCTTTCTACATGCCTGCAATTATTGATTTGATCAAAATCTCTTGATCAGCATTTAAAATCCCCTTATACAAATAATTATAGATACAATTCGTGTATAGTTACTGCAATACCCTTTTCAACTTCCCCCATATATTATGGTTAGTAATAAGAAAAAAATCTTAAAAAACATAATTTATATATTAAAAAAATTTAAAACAAATATAAATATTTATAATTATCTCATGCATAGCATGAGTGATAGGCTAGTAAACAAAAGAAAGAAAAGAGAATTGTTGTGCGGCGGCAAGCCCGAGAGAGAGAGAGAGAGATTGACCATCAAAGAGTAAAGAAAAAGTGCTCTCTCTGTGTGTGTTGGGAGGGGGGGAGGCGTGGAAGGAGAGAAGAAAAAAAAGAGAAAAAGAATAACAAAGACTAGGGTTTTATTTTGATAGTTTCATTAATTGTTCAAGTGATTCTTTAATATTCAAAAAAAATATTGTGATATTTAATTCGTTGTTTTTATTTATTTATTTATATTTATTTGATATTAGTTTGATTTTGTATTTATATAAAGATGATAAATTGATTTTAATTATTTTGATTAGTGGTATATGTAAAGTTTAGAAATTTTGGATGATTGATTGATTTTAATTACCTTGATTAGTTGTGTATGTAAAGTTTAGGGCTTTTAGATAATTGATTGATTTTAATTACTTTGATTAGTTGTGTATGTAAGGTTTAGGATTTTTAGATAATTGATTGATTTTAATTATTTTGGTTAGTTGTGTATACAAGGTTTAGGGTTTTTGTCTTTTATGCATTTATTTTATGGTTGTAATCACACTCATGATTATATAAAATTAAAATAAACTTAAAATCCATAGATATTGGTTAGAGGATGGATTGATTCGTTGTTTTTATTTATTTATTTTTATTTGATGTTAGATTGATTTTGTATTTACATGTAGATGATGGATTGATTTTAATTATTTTGATTAGTTGTGTATGCCATGTTTAGGATTTTTATATGAATTTATTTTATGGTTGTAATTACACTCATGGATATATGAAATTAAAATTAATTAGGAACCCATAGATAAATTCCTTATACTCCACCATGACTCCATGGATTGTTGTTTTATTTGAATGATGGTGAGAAAGAGTGTATAAAAAAAAAGTAAAGATTATGAGATTTATTTGAATGCTTTAGGCTTGGTATTATTATGTTTATTCTCATGAGTGATATGTTGTGCATATATATATTGTTGCCTTATTCTCATGAGTAGACGAGTGCTTTGATTTATGCGCGTATGTATATGCTAACCATCCAAGGAGTGCGAGTCAAACTCGGGACGATATCCCCGTGCAAGTTTGGCTTCGGAGCGGTGTTAGGTATACGGGAGGCACATGGGATATATGTGTAGGCCGGAAGTGGAGGGCCGGAGTGGTGGAGTTAAGGTATAAATAATTTAATTATGAGATGATTGTTATAGTGTGTATTGTATTGATTTGTAGATGTTGAAAAATAGTAAACGACCTCGATAAATTATGAAATTTGATCAGAGGCATATATACGTAATTCTAGACAACTTTTGTGTTTTAACTTTTTATTAAAAAGATCGATTAGAACTTATAACCGAATGATCTTGGTTATTGTAGTTTTGATTCATTTTGGCAATACAGATTTTAAAGGTTGTTTTAACCCACGAAACGAGCTCATTTTTTTTTTGTTTTCATACAAACTATAGTAAAACATTATTCTGCACACTTTTCGTGTTTTGAACTTTTTCGAAAAAATTCATCTTAGGGCAGTTTTTATTCATTTTCAGCTTCAGATTTTTCAATTGAATTCCGTCTAAATTTTTAGATCAAGTTTTTCTCTTAACCTGTTAGTTTCTATTAAATTTGTTCACGTTGTCTTTTAGGAAATTTGATTCTGTACAACTTTCGTTCTTTGATTTTTGGTCAATTCAAATTAGTTAAGGAGGAAACGGTACATTTTTATACTTCTTCAGCAAGTTACTTATGATTAAATTATATTAACCTTTTTTTTTTTTTTTTTGCAAGATGGTGGGTCTTACTAACTTTTTATGCAGGGTTAATCCACCATATTTTTATTTCTATTTTTTTAATTTTATAATCAATTTATATTTTGTTGTGTACGGATAAGAAACTAAATGTCACCGTATCTCGAGAAACTACCCATTTGTCTCAGTGCGGTTGGAACTACTTGTCTTGTCCCGTAATAAGAATTTAATGTATTTTTTTGTTTGTGTCTGGTGGACACGTGGGTGTTGAATCTTGTACTCATACCAATATATCTGTATACTGACCCGCTTTGTCTCTTGGCAACTCAAGTGCGTTTTGTTCGAGCGCAGCTGGACTTCCTTTGAAAGATTAGTTGAGGTTACGGTGGTAACGAGAAGTAACTATAGCTTTTGGGCATATCTCTTAGATTTCTTTTGTTTTCTTGAGCTTAGGGTTGAGATTAGTTTATATATTTATTATTTTTTTATGACTTTGGTATTGGGATAATTTGACATGGTTTGTAACCGTACATTATTTAAGTTATTTTGACTATGTATTGTTACTTTAGTGTTGAGATATTGGTTAGTTATGAAATTTATGGTGGATGGTTTGGTTAGCGTTTAGTTTTTTGTTTCACCCCTAGGATTTGGATGATGGAATATTGATTGGGGTTTAACCCTAATTTCATATTTAATTGTCCGAATTTTGGGGCGTGACAGGGAGAGGCTCCAATTGAATATATTCGGGTCTCCTTTGCAGCTGATACTTCTTTTGCAAATTACATCAGCTGTTACGTATTCATGAAAAGGAAATTATTATTAATAATTTTTTATCAACAAAAGTAAATTACTGACCAGACTGATGTTGATTGTGTTGAATGGTTAAAGCAGAGCAATTTCGTGGAGATTTGGTGGTTGTTGATAGGGATTGGCTTTTTCCAGTCATCGTATTAGAGGGTGTTGTTAGACTTGTAAAGACTTATTACAAATCTCATTTCGATAATCTAAATCATTTAATATGTAAAATCTGTCGAGTATTATATGTCTGTAAAAAATTACTTTGATTGGATATCGATAACTATTTCATTGAATTAGATTTCTGTC